GGGCCCGGGCTGCCGCTGGGGTGGCCCCCGCGGGCGGCGCGCGCGCTGCAGAGAGTGAGGGCGGTAACGTTTCTCCTTCTGGCTTTCGGCTCCTTTGTGCCTGCCGCGGGGTGCCGGGATCAGGGGTGCGTGTGTCGTGAGGGGCCCGGGGCTGCGGCGGAGCGGCCCTGTCGTCGTGTGAGGGCCCAGGGTTGGCAGGGGCATTGCAAGCGCGCTCCGGGGCTCGCCCGGAGGTCTCCCGGGGGGAGGGTGGTAGTCGTTTGGGGCGCTTGGCGGGGAGCGATTCCTGCTGCCAGAGCTAGCGGGGGAAAGCCGGGCCCTCTTTTCCTGAAACCCGCAGCCGGGCGGCGACATTTCTGCTGCCCGCGTTGCAGGCCTCCGCCATCTTGTACACGTGGTGGGGGGATGTGACACTGAATTCTTTCTGAGGTTCTCCACCTCCTCGTCAGCGACGGTCCTTTCCTTAGGAGATCGCTCTTGTCTTCTCGACTCTGGGTGGCTGATATTCCTGTGCAACCTCCAGCAAAGACCGTGGGCGATGGGAGAGGAGGGGTGTTGGGGCTTCTGTAGAGAGGAGACCGGGTATCGGGTTCTTACGCAAGAAGTGGGACTGGGGTCTCTAGATGAATGCCTGGGTTGTTCTCGAGAACCGGGTAGGAGTGGACGTAGAAGAAAGCAAACAGGGCCTTTGTTTAACTGCAGGAAGCGTTCTCACAGGGTCGCTCTAGATGTCGGAGGGTTTTGTTAACGTTAGTTCTGGCTTAAGGCTTTTTTGAACTTCGGTTTCCTGGCCGCTGAGTGCTGCCACGTCCCTGCAACAAAGCCCACGTGGAGTCAGCCCGCTGATTGTCTTTCTCCCTCGCCCGCCGCTACTCAGCAAGGATCCCCCCAGTTGAGTTTCCTCCTTCAGGCAACCACCTGGAAAACCATTGACTTTATCCTAACTGTTGCCATGTCACAAATGGAGGGATTTTTCTCATGCATTCATCCTTGATCCTGGCATGCCCTCCTTTGGCATTGTCCCGTACGTTCCTTTTTCGTACATTTTCCCAACGTACAGGAAAATAGACGTAAGTTGAACAGTTGTAACGTTTCGCCATATTTGCTTTATTTGTACTTAATGTTTTGAAAGTAAATTTTATATTTTATCCAAAGTAGTTAACACTTGTGTCCCTAAAATAACATTTTTCTACTTAAATGCCAATGCCATTGTCACCTTCAATAGACTAATTCCTTAATATTGTCATCCTTTTGCTTCCTGTTCATTGTTCCTAAGTCATCTCCAAAATGTCTTTCACAGATGATTTGTTCAAAGTTGGTTCAGTCAAAGGTCTCTGGTTATGGCTTACATTGCTTACATCATAGCTTTCTTTTTTCCTAGAATAGCCTCCTTATTCCTCCCAATAGGTTCTGAGTGATTTGTATCTTAGCAGCTTACACTACTTAGGGTTAACAGCAGGTGTAGACACTGCCGGAAAAGCTGCAAAACTAGGCAAGGGGTCACGGACACTGGGGTTCTCTTTATGTAGTAGGTTTGGAGGCCCATCCCAGGAGGACAGTCCCTGTGCATCTCTGACACCAGGAAGTTTGGGATATCCTGGTGGTTCCACAAGGAGAGCTGTGGTCAGCTTGTCCTTTCCTGATGGATTTTGTGTTTCCCAGTCTCTAAGCTCTGTTAGCTTGGCCTCTGTCCCTGAAGGTAAGTTGCCATGAGACGTGGTTGCAGAGGGGCTGGGGCTCTCATGATGTTCAGCACTGGGCTCTGATCACACCTGAGGACACAGTGCCCCCCCAGGACCTTTGACACCTGGGGGTCTGAAGGGCCCTAGTTTTGTTGTTCTGGAACTGCAGACCGTTTCCTCCCCCACCCTCACCAAATCCTTCCTGTGTTACAGGTGTGTCTTCAAGCCAGTGGGCCACCCACCACCAACCTCATCGTGGTAAGTACTCTTGCTCCCACTCTCTAACCCACCGGCTCTAAAATATTTCACCCTGATCTTGGGTGACTTCGTATCAGATATCTCTGGGACTTAATTTTTGTTCCAACAATCATACTCAGGATTTTAAACCCAGTGTCATATTGGTGGAAGCCTAGTTGGGCCTAGGTCCAAATCTCAGCTTTGCTGTTTATGGGCTTGGAGATGTTCAGCAGGTGATCGCTCTCCTGAGCCTCAGTTGCTGTTTCTGTAAAGCAGGCACATCATCAGGAGCAGATGGCCCAAATCCTCTGTACAGCTGGGTGGGGGCAATAACCTTTCCTGCCTTCCAGAGGTAAGAGTTGAATAAGATAAGGAGTGCATGGACTGTGGAAGAAAACGTATTTGGGTTTCAGGGAAAAGGACTAATCAGAAACCTAATTTTCAAATTCAGCAGTGGGAAAGAAACAGAATGTCTCTCATCATTATTACATGTTACATTGTGGGTTTTGTAGACTGAATATAACATACCTTTAGACAAAGCTTAGTCAGCTTTCAGTGAGTCATTTATATATAGACTGATACAATTATTAAAGGAACCCTTGATTTACACAATAGCAATTGTTCAAATAACAGGATTTATCAGAAGAATGTCTTACAAGTGTTTCCAAGAGCTAAATCATAAGACAGGCATATATGTGTGTGTTGTCCAAACACAAACAAGTGCTCCCAGCTCTAGGAGGATTTTCATTTGCTCCTTGGATGTCAGGGGTAGGGAGAATAATGGCTGCAGTGAAAATAGAACTGAAAGTGTATTCTCCAGGGCTACTGGAAGTTGCAACTCTTTCTGGCAAAGGAGCTGGTTTCTGTGAAGGGTGAGCTTGGATTTCAGTTCTTCTGAATAGCTTTTTGAGGCGTTTGTTCTCTTTTTGTTTGTTTGTTTTGCCGCTGGCCGGTAACAGCTTAGTGCTCCTAATCCAAGGTATCCTCTGCAGAGCACTGAACGGATCTGAATGTTAAGCTTTGAGAGCTTAGAGGAAATTCCTGGGGAAATAAGGACTAGGGAAGGTGCCAGTTGGGCAGGGAGGTGAGAAGAGGAAAGAGTTGACAGCAGGATAGGGAAGTATTAGGCCTCAGGGCCAGCTTAACATCAGTACAGCCATATTAAGCAACTTTCCACTCTTCCCCCTCCCCTTTCCCTCTTTTTGCTCTGGGAATTGGTCAGTGAAATTCTTCTAGGAATGGGTAAACAGGACCGTTATCGTCAAAGGAACATCTTGCTAAAGCACGTGGGCTGTGGATAGCAGGCATTCGGGCTTTGTACTGATACAGGTATACAGTGGTTACACAAAGCAGAAGCCTGTGCCCTAACCAACCAGATGTTACTGGACCACGAAGGCTGTGTCACCTTGCATACCACTGATTTCAAAACTGCCCATAACTCTGCAAGAACCTTCCCTCAAAGTCTTATAAGACCCCTGCTTTCCTTCATTCAGGGGTGCTGGTCTGACTCGGTCTCCCCTCCACACTGGTGGAATAAAGCCTCTAAGCTGAAATAGCACCTGGCTTGGGTCTCTCTCTTTTCTCCACCTTGGAAGAACTAAGGGACACATAACACCTGCTGATTGTAGACCACAGCTGTCCGATGGGACTGTCATGATGGAAATGTGCTATGCACTGTCCAGTCCAGCAGCCACTGCGTGTGGCTCTCCAGCATCTGAAATGTAGCAAGTGTGACTGGGGCCATAATTTTTTATTATATTTAATTAACAAATTTAAACAGGGGTTACCTCTTTGGACAGCACATTTCTACACAAAATTTAGATTTGTGTGTTCACAGTTGCTAAACAATAGCTCACACTCAGCGAGCACTTGCCAAATTTAAGTACTTAAGGAGAATGAACTTGCCAAATCCTCCCAGTGAAAGGCAGATGCCCTTTCCCCATTTCACGGAAGGTTCTGGTGAAGTCAGTTTCCCAGGTTGAGTGAAATAGTGACTCAGGGCTCAGGCCCAGGCAGTTTGTAAGGCTGGGTGGGGAGTAGCAGACCTGGGAACTGGGCAGAAGCAATCAGGGGCGTTTTTGTTAGGGCATGGACAGTCCACACACACACACGGGGCTGAGCAGAAGCAGGGCCAAAACTGACTGCTGTGTGCTGGGTCAACCTCTTTCTCTCACTGAACTCTGCAGATGAGCTTGCCTGCTAGGCACATCTAGTCCCATTGTCCAGAGGGAGGAAGGGTCTCTAGGGGTGGCTTAGGTCAGATGGTTGCAGATCATACAGGAAGTAACGCCCAAGGTTGAGCTGGACAGTGAAGGGTGGTTGGGGGGCAGGGGGGCGCGTGGCATTAGAAAGCAAGCAGTGGGGGCTTGCCTCTTGGCACCCCCAGAGACAAGGTATTGGTCATTTTCTTGCCTGGATCTCTGAGCACTCTTGTGGCCCTGGGACCTGAGCAGGCGGGGGGGTGGGTGGTTAGAGTACAGGTGCCCCCATGATGTCCAGCACTGGGCTCTGACCACGCCTGAAGACACAGTGCCCCCCTGGGACCTTTGACACCCAGGGGCCTGAGGGGCCCTGGATCTGGGGATGAGATGGATGGGGGTGCCATGGTTACCCTGTACCCCACCCACCTCTTCTCCCTTCCCCTGCCCCTTCCTGCCTACAGGTGGTTCCTCCAGGAGTCCAAGGACCCAGCCATCCCTTGGTAAGAACAGAAGAGGCTGCCTCTTATTAACAACATAATTATGTTAAGTTTATAATGTTATAAACTTATAGTTTAAGATTTATAGATTATGGTAACATTAAAAATAAAGATTAATTCTTAGCACTTTAAGCACTGTTATAGCGTAGATTCATTTCCTCTTTACAGTAGCCCTGTTGAGCCCTATTCCATAGTTGAGGAAATCAAGGCACATAGGTTGTGATTTGCCCCATCTCATCTCAGGCTTTCTGTCTCGCCCTCCTCTACATCAGAGGAAGGAGGACCAAGGAGGTCGGCTTCGATTCCCCACTTCTGCCGCTTCTGACCTTTGTGGACTTTCATTGCTCGTCTGTACATAGGTGGGTCTAAGGTGGACCCCCCGTCCCTGTGTGTGTGCTGTGGGCAGCCTCCCCTGCAAATTCAAGTTCCCGGGCCTGACCCCTCGAGGGCTAGGGGTGGGTACCTAGGTGTGCAACCTGTTCCGCAGCTGGTACTGGTGGGAGGCACGAGGGAGGCAGCAGACCATTATTGAACACCAGCCTTTGCCACCCCAAAGCTGTTGTTGAATTACGTGGCATCCTCCATGCACAGACTGGGGAATATAAAAGGGGGCTGGTGCAGAAGGAGCTGGCTGGGGGGTTACAGCGAGGTGAGCTCTGTCGGGGTTCCTGAAGGGGCTGCACCTGGGATCCCCATGATGTCCAGCACTGGGCTCTGACCGCCCCTGAGGACACAGTGCCCCCTGGGACCTTTGACACCTGTGGGTCTGAGGGGTCCTGGCTCTGGGGAAGGGATGGATGAGGGTCCTGTGGTTGCCCTGCACCCCACTCACCTCTCCCCTCTCCCCTGCCTTCTTTCCGCCTGCAGCTGGTTCCCCGAGGCATCCAAGAGCCCGGCTGTCCCTCTCGGTGAGAACAATTCCTGGTAGTGAAGGTAAGGCTGGTGCAGGGGAAGCACAGCCCTGTTCTGAGCCAAGCACTGTTCTAAGTACTGTATGCATTTAGTCTCCATGATTACACTACCTTGGGGGGAGGGGGAGACAAAAGAGGGGGGTGATGCTGGGGGGGAGTGGGTGCAGTTAGACATCCTACAAGGGTACTTCAAAAGGTTTGAGGAAAATTAGAAAAGGTAATACAAATCTTCCCATGAACTTTTTGTAGACCCCTCATATGTGTGCCTGTGCCCAGGGACCCCTATGATGTCCAGCACAGCTCTGACCAACACTGAGGACACAGTGCCTCCTGAGACCTTTGACACCAGAGTTGTGAGGGGCACGAGTCTTGGTGGGGTGGTGGAGTGAAGGTGTGGTCATTTCCCACACCCAATGCCTCTTTGTCCTTCCTGCAGCTACTGTGACAGCTCCCTGCCAGGCCCTCTTGCTGTTCCGTGCCTTGGGGCAACTGCAGCCATGGCTGAGAGAGCTCTGGCACCCACCCAGATGGGCCGAGGGGACCAGTACTACACTTACACCAAACTCCTGGCCATTTCTGGCCATTTCATGGTGCTTCAAGCAGAACCCCAGTGAGCTCATGATCACCTGGATCCTGCGGGTGTACGATCAAGGGGTTCAGCCCTGTCACTGAACTCCGGGGAGCTGACGCTGCTGGTCGACCTGACCCATGATGCCATCTTCAACTACCACTGCAAGACCCTGCGGGGTGCCTGCAAGACACTGCTCACCTGGCTGCCGATGGCCTGGCACCAGCGCTGGGAGTCCTTCCTGCACTTTGAGGCCACTGAGCTGCCCTTCCACCCCTGGACCACCATGGAAGAGGGCATCCAGCTGGTGCATGAGCTAGGCATGCATTAAATGGCAGATGCATCACTCTGAACTGTCGTGTTTGACTCCATCTCCACATGGACTCCAAGGTGTAGAGCTGGATCCAGAACTCTCCTAGGGCTAGGCCTGGGGGTTCCTGCCCACCTTCAGGCTCTCAACTCTGCTTGGGCCATTCCAGCAGTCTCCTAAGGAAGGGTGGGCTCTTGGCAGCAGGTGGGAGCCAGTCATAGCAATAGGGTAACCCCAGCTAGAATGTTGGGTTTTCATGAACCTACAAGCAAGAAGCCAACCCCTCCCAGGGCCAGAAAGTGCAGAGTATTCCTAGGCCTCCCTTGGGTCATGACTGCTGGCCTGCACTTTGTAGGCCCTGACACCCCTAGGGGGAATGACAGGCAGGGAGAGAGTTCCCCAGGGATGGTGTTCATGGCAAGAGGCTGCTTTTGGGGCCCAACCCAGTATCCCCCCTTCCTGGCATCATGGTGGGGGCAGGGGAGAGTATGCTGGCGTCCCCAGTTCTCTATCTGTGAGGATAGGACCACTTGGCTCCCACCCCAAGCCAGCCCTCCCACAGTCCAGGGGACCCTGCACCTTAATCTTTCCAGGGATGATTGTCAGGCCTAAGGGAGGGTTTGGAGGTCCTGGTTGCTGGAAGTAGCTCTGTAGCTTCTAGTTGCAAACTCACCCCAACCACCCCCAGCAGCCCTCTGAGCCTCCATCTGACTTGCTGTTGCTCTGTGTTTGCCGCACCAGACCACCCACAGAAGGGCTGATTAGGTGATGATGTAGACAACCATTGGTGTCTGGACCACACGAGGAGGAGGCTGCTGCCCCACACTCAGCTCATGGTGGGCAGGGTGGAACCTCCCCTCAGTACAGGTGCAGGCTTGCCTGTCCCGCACAGTGCTCCACAGGGGCCCGCTGTTCACTACTGGGTACTGCGATAGCTTTTGTCACCTTTGGCATTGTCTGATAGAATTTGCTGTGATGGGAACATTTCCTGTCTGCACCATCCAGTATGGCAGCCACCAGCCACCTGGAATGTGGCCAGTGTGACTAGGACCTGAACTTTACATTTTACTTATTTAAACTTAAATAGCCACGTGTATTGGCAAGCGCCCAGGTGGGTTCCCCACCACCCTTCAAATCAAAGCACGTGGGCCAGCCCGGTGGCGCACTGGAGAGTGCGCCACTTGGGAGTGCGGCGGCGCTCCCGCCGAGGGTTCGGATCCCATGTGGTGACTGGTTCCCGCTCACTGGCTGAGCGCGGTGTGGGCGCAACACTGAGGGTTGCGATCCCGTAGCCGGTCCCCAGTACGGGCACGACACTGAGGGTTGCGATCCCGTACCGGTCAGTAAAAAAGACAAAAAGGAAAAAAATAATAAATAAATAAAAAATCAAAGCATGTGCCAGTGAGAGAATGTTACCAGCACCACCTGCTCTCTGCTGTTCCCCGGGAGGCTAATTTCAGGGGTTGTGGAATCTGCTGGATTTGAGTTTTGGCTCTACAAAATCAGGCGGGAGCACAGAGAGGCCAATCACTTGCCCACAGTCACAACAGCTTTGGTGTTGGTACTGGCCAACTGTGGGGCCAGGCTTTGAATCCCATACCTTCCTGTGAGCTCTCCTACTCAATGGACCTGACCCCACCCCAAAGACATCGCAGCATTGACAGCAGGAGAGGGTCACCAAAGGACCAGGGTTGAGGGTTTGACTCCTGTGAGTTAGCTCTCAGCAGAGTGCATGACCCACGGAGCAGCCTGCTGAGCAGGCATGGCTTTGCTACACAGGCATCGCACATGGAGGTACACACAAGGTTCCACCCACCCTCACATATTCCACACACTTCCATGCTTGTATAGAAACGTGCATAAACAAAAACGCCCGCATGTTACCACACATGCAGACATGCCTACATATACATGTTCTAGCAGACATGCATTACACACGTTTGTGCAGGAACATGTGCCACATATAGCCACATGCCAACATATACGTACCAACATATATACAGGCTGGAGATACCTACATATATTCACATGTACACGTAAGTACAGACACATCCACACTGAATGTCCGTATACATGTACCACATATGCATGTACACGGACCTTCACAGACACGTACATGCACACAGGTGCACACATGCGCATACACAACTGCTTGTGGCTTCCAGGCCAGGGAGCCCCCCCAGCCCACATTCCCCACACGCACAGACACAATAAGTCACAGAAGCCAGAGCATCAGGTGACCGCACATGTTGGGATCCAGTGTTAGCTGGGAGGAGGAGGTGCCCAGCTTTCTAGGCTCACACAGGGCCCCCCCAAGCCCGCAGGCAGCGCGGTCTCCAGGCCAGCAGGCCCAGTCCCAAGGTGAGAGCTGCTAGCACAGCCACAACTCCAGCAAGTAGAGGCACTGTGGTGGCTGTGGAGAGAACATGAGGGTTGTGAGTCCCAGAACTTGGGGCCCCTGACTCCCACCCCAGCACAGAGGGCTGTCACCTGAGAGGGTGGCAGGCTCATACGAGCCATGGCAGGGGACCCCGTGATCCGGAGGCCGGGCCTGGGCAGTCAGCTGCTGGAAGCGGCCTAGTGGGCAAGGGGCTGGGCACCCAGGGAGGCTGAGGGGCAAAGGCAGACGGGTGGAGTCATTGCGGTAGAAGAGGGAGATGGTGACATTCCTGGAGGGAGAGAGGAGATGCTGGCACCTCCCTGCCTCCCCTGCCACTGACCTCAAATCTGGAGAAACTGAAGTCTGATATGCAGGGACAGGAGCTGCATGAAGGAAACTGGCACTCCTGACGCCCACCTGACAATCTAACACCATGCCATAAAATTCCCTTTCCAGGCCAGTGCCTGAGGTGTGCCTTCTGCCTGGCACATCACCCCTCCTCTTGAGAATTCCATCCCACCCATTACCCTGAGCACCACCCCATCCTCACCCTTCATCTTCATCCGGATCCCCAAGGCGCTTCCGAAACTCAAAGCCAAGGCAGGCAGCATATGGCGGGGTGTGCCCGTCATAGAGGCCCAGGGCCCCCTGGAGAGCCAGCAGGGTGCTGTCATGCTGCAGGTGGACCCAAGGGCTGAGACAATACTTTTCCTCTCCTGATGTCTCCTCTCTCCTAAACTCTAGACTTGTGTGTCCAGCTGCCTCCCGGATGTCCCCAAAGCTCCTTAAATCCAACCCTCTGCCCAAAACCTGCTCTTTCCTCCCTCTTCACGTTGAAGGCAGTCCCACCATTTATAGGTAATCACTAATAAAGAATGGTCAAATCGATGCAAAATATGATTGGACAGCTCGATTAAACAGCCTGTCCTTCCAGAGGAACTAAATTCTCCCATACACTATCACCTCCCTACTTCCAGACCCTGTACCTCTAGTAATATGGTCCAAGAGTAGGGTTTGGAGATATGTGTTACCCAAGGCAGTGGGCTGAGGTTCCATTGGGACCACTGGCTCTTCCTCACCCAAGTCACCATCACCCTCATGCCTGTGCCCACGTGACATTGCCTCCCTTCCAAAAAACTCACAGCTGAGTACATGACCATCTTGAGGGGCAGCCCCAGGCTCTGGACCTGGGAGAAGTTGGCAAGGATGGCATCCAGCAGGATCCCTGAGAGGGTGGGGACAGAGAGCTTAGAACCCCTCCCCCCACCCCACCTCCAAGAGATAGGCCCCCTTGCCTCCTGGCTCTACACCTCACCCCCTGTCAGCTGGGCCTTCTCTGCTGCCCTGGGTGGGCCCACATGGGCCCCGATATCCAAAGCTGAGATCTGGGCAAGTGTCCGCAGGACATCCGGGGAGGCCCAGGATGGGAGGGAAAGACCATGGGCTTGCTGGAGAGAGACAGGGACAGAAGACAAAGATGGACATCCTGAGCCCCTCATGCTCCCCACCCCCAACCCCCATCCTCCCAGTGCCTGTGCTGCCCCCATCAACTGTGACATACTCTTTCCCACCCCTCATCTAAGCCTCTCAGGGGCTGGGGCTGGTCAGGAAAACATGGTGTGGACAACAGCGATTATTTAGTAATAGGAGTTATCATCATTACACAGTCTAGAAACCCTTATCTGAAGCCCTTGCGACCAGAGGTGTTTGGAATTCAGACATTTTGGATTTTAGAAAGTCTGATGGTGCCAATACCACACAACACAGAACACACCCAGCAGGGTCTGGGCAGCCCCTTAATCACACAAATTGTTATTCCTTAATGTTATTCAGTTAGCAACATTGTCATGAACTGGGGTAAACAAAGACTGTCAAGAGCATCACATCATTTCAGGCCAGCTCCTGCTGCACAAGTTTTGGGTTCTGACACTTTTCCAATCACAGGACAGTGGAGGAGAAAGTGCCAAGGCTTAGCCTTGAACCCTCATCGGGCCCTCACGGTGTGTCAGTCATTGCTGTAAGCCCATTACGTGGATTGACCCATTTTAATCTTCACGGCAACCCCAGGAGGTGTTGATACGGGTGTTGCTATCCCCATTGTGCAGGTGGAGAAACTGAGGCACGGAAAGGTTAAGAAACTCGCCTGAGGGAACACAGCTAGTTAGTGGCAAAGCTGACATCTGAACCTAGGTGTCCTTAACCCCTTGGCTGGGAGGAGGTGGGGACTCACCTGGCAGATCAGCGTGTCCAGAACTTTCCATGCCCTGCGGAGCGGCTCCCCAACCAGCGACAGCCCCGTGAAGTTCTCCAGGCGGGTCAGGAAGTCCTGGGTACAGGGGGCTGGTGAGTCTCCACCCATCCCCTGCGCCCCACCCTGCTGGCCCTGCCTGTAGCCCTGCTCACCGTCCAGCCCTCCAGGGCCTCCTGGTACTCAGCAGACTCAGTGGCCTCCTGCAGCAGTTCATGGTACTGGGGACAACTGCGCATGGGGAACCTCAGCAGCTGGGGGAAACTGAGGCTCAGGACAGCAGCATGCCTGGGGTCTCACAGCAGAGGAGTCAGGGTTCTCAGGCCTTTGTCTCTTTCCCAGTTTCTCAGATCTAGCTGAGCAACGTCAGGGTGGCAGCTCGCCCCCATCTGGACAGCTTGGCCCCGGGGATGGTCTCACTGCTTCTAGCTATCTCAGGCTTCCGGGAGCTGACCCAGGCAGGCCCAGAGCTGCCTCAGTCTCTCTCTGTTTTGGTGTCTCTGTCACTCTCCATCCCTCTCCTGCCCTCACCGCACCCCTGGTCCAGCCCCCTGACCTTGTCCTCAGTAACAGGCACTGTGTGCACTGGAATTGGCCTCCAGTTGGCCTCGGGGCTCCCCGGGGCAGCCTCGGGGAACAGCCCAGCAAGGTTGGCCTGAGCACTCTCCAGTGTCCGGTCAAAGTCCGTGCTGCGAACATACACCTGGGGCAGGGTGGGAAGAGGGCATGCAGGGGACCATGGTTGGGGTCAGAGGTCAGCTGTGGCAGCAAATCAAAAGCTTCAGATTCAGTTCCGGGTAGAAGGTCATGAAGAAGGATCAAGAGTAAGACGTTGGGAGTCAAAACTCAGGACGGGGGCTCAAGTGTCTGGCCTTCAATGTCAGAAGTTGGGGTCAAGGGTCAGAGGTCAATGTCAGGAGCAGTTGGATTGGGGGTCAGAAGTTGAGTGAACATGTTGGAGTAAGGGGGTCAGTTGGATCAAAGAGGATCAGAAAGGAAGATCAGAATTAGAGGCTGGAGGTTAGAGGTCAAGATGAGGAGGACAAGTGGGAGACATAGGATTAGAGTTCAGTATATGTTCATCAGAGGTCAGACATCAGGAAGACTGATCCTAATTGGAGGAATGTCAGAAGACAGGAGGAGACAGGAAAGGAAGGTCAGGAATTGATGTCAAAGGTTGGAGGTCAGGAGGGCAGTTGAGTCCACAGGCTCAAAGACAGAATCAACCAAGTTTAGGAGTCAGACATCAGAGTTCAGAAGGTCTGATTGGGTCCCATGGGAGTCAGAAGAAGTGCAGGCCAGAAAATAAAGTCAGACTGGATGGAGGTTAGAGGTCCAGAGGTGATTCAGGTTGAAAGAAGGTCAGGGGTCATGGGGGTTAGTCGATCTCTCAGAGGTCCTAAATTAGAGGGACGGTGCAGGTCAGGCTGCTGGAGATCAAAGGCCAGAGATGGAAGCTCAATGGAAGTGTTGGAGTATATGGAGGTCAAAGGTGGGAGGTCAAGAGGCCAGGTAGAGGTCAGTATGGCAGTACCTCCTCCCGCCGGTACTCAGGACTCAGAAAGGCCTCGTAGCGGCTCCTCAGGAAGCGTCCCAGCTCCAGCTGCTGGCGGACCCCTTCCTAGGGACAGAGCAGCCTCAGCAGACCCCTCCCCACCCCCGCCCCACCCCTCACACCCACCCCCGGTTTCTCACCCCAGTCAGCTGGCCCAGGCCACGTGGCCACAGGGTGGAGACTGCCTCTTTGTGTGGGTCTGTGGGGTAGGAGGCCAGTGGGGCCCGGTCACCATGACGAAACACCTGGGGATGGGATGGGATAGGGTCAGGGCTGGCCTGAGGGGACTCAGAGGTCAGGCTGGGGCTAGGGGACCTCACCAGAGCCACGAACACCAAGGGTCCTTCCATCAGGGCCTGGGCCAGCAGCAGTAGCAGCAGCAGCAACAGGAGAGGTTTGGCAGGGTTGCCCTGAAACCCTGGCCCAGCCATTTCCACACAGCCCAGACACGGAGCTCAGCTCACTGTCTGTGCCGCAGCCTCACCTGCTCATTACCCTCTGCCTCAGCACCCCCATGACAGCAGGTCTCAGCACGCCTGCCTCAGAGCCACAGGAGGCCTTGGGATCCAGCTCCCCCAGGGCCTTTGCCAGCCTTGGATTGATCCCTGGGAGGTGTTAGTACGGCTATCACCATCCCCATTGTGCACATGGGGAAACTGAGGCACAGAAGGGTTTAGTAACTTTCCTAAGGAAATAATGAGTGGCAAAGCTGGGACTTGAGGGCCGGCTCGGTGGCGCACTGCTACAGTGTGCCGCTTGGGAAGCGCGGTGGCGCTCCCGCTGAGGGTTCGGATCCCACATACAGACCGGTTCCCGCTCACTGGCTGAGCGAGGCGTGGGAGCAACACCGAGGGTTGCGATCCCGTTGCTGGTCCCGGTCCGGTACGGGCGCGACGCTGAGGGTTGCAATCTGTTGCTGGACACGGAAAAAGACAAAAAAACAAAAAAAAAAAAAGCTGGGACTTGAGGGCCGGCTCGGTGGCGCACTGCTACAGTGTGCCGCTTGGGAAGCGCGGTGGCGCTCCCGCTGAGGGTTCGGATCCCACATACAGACCGGTTCCCGCTCACTGGCTGAGCGAGGCGTGGGAGCAACACCGAGGGTTGCGATCCCGTTGCTGGTCCCGGTCCGGTACGGGCGCGACGCTGAGGGTTGCAATCTGTTGCTGGACACGGAAAAAGACAAAAAGACAAAAAAAAAAAAAGCTGGGACTTGAACTCAGGTGCCTTTAACCTGGACACAGATTCAGGGGGAAACCCCCACCCCTGACCCACTTTCTAGACTCACATTCTCTATTCTCACTTCCATTCCTCCTCCCCCACTCTGAATCTGTTGTTTCTTTCCTTGCTCCTTAAATATTGAAGCTTTTCGAGGCTCTCCTGGGCTTCTTGAATATTTCATCTTCTTCCAGTGCCACCCACAGCTGGCCAAAGCCAGCATGGCTCAGTGGTTGAGCACTCAGACCCTGGAGCTGGACAGACTGAGTTTAAATCTCATCTTTACCATTTACAGCTGTGTGACTTGGAGCAAGTTACTGCACCTCTCTGTGCCTTTGTTTCACAAAACTGGAATGAGCATAGTCTGTACCTCAGAGTTGCTTTGAGGATTAGACGAATTCAAGTATACTCAGCATTTAGAACAGGGTTTCATAAAGGGTAACTACTAAGTCACTGTGTTATTTATTGCTATGTAACTAATTACCCTAAAACTTAGCAGCTTAAAACGGTGAACATTTATTATTTCTCACAGGTTTTTGTGGGTCAGGAATTTGGGAGTGGCTTAGCTGGGTGATTCTGACTCAGGGCATCTCAGGAGGTCGCAGTCAAGGTATCAGCTAGGGCTGTGGTCATTTGAAAACTTGACTGGGATTGAAAGAGCCACTTCTAAGCTTCCTGGAGCCTCAGTGCCTCACTACATGGACCCCTCCATAGGGCTGCTCAAGCATCCTCCCGACATGGCAGCTGGCTTCCCCCAGACCAACTCACCCAAAAGAGAACAGTGCTTTCTACGCCTTAGTAACCCCATGTCATTCCCGTTATATTCTGTCGTTTCGCAAGTCGACCTTATTCTACGAGGGAGGGGACTACAGAGGCGTGAACAGCAGCAGACAAGAATCACTAGGGCTGTCTTGGAGGTTGGCTCCACAATAACGCTCTTTAAATAAATAAAGACGCCTCATCAGCCTGCTCCCTGAGTTCTGACCTGAGCATCCAGGCACCCCCTCTGAGTACCCCAGTGGTTCACCACATTGCTGATGGGGCTCAGTCACCCTCTTTCCCCGTTGAATCCTCATCTCAGTGACAGAACTGATCCCTCCGAGTTATCAAAGTCAACTGTATTAACCATGAATTTTATTTTCAGTACTTTGATGCTTTGACAACTGGGGCCTTGCTGACCACGGAGGGATGGCCCTTTCCTGGGCTGCCAATTGCTAGAAATGGTAAAGGACTCACCTGTGAGCACACTTTTCATATGCACAGCAACCAATGCAGAACCCACACCCCAGCCACCTCCTTTATGGAGCTCTTGCATTCTGAGCCACTATTCCCTGTGCTAATCACCTCGGGCCGGGTGCCAGAGCTCACGGGAATGATTCGAACTAGTCGATCCTAGCCTGCTTGCCCTGCCTCATTCGTTCCTGTAGAAACCACAATACAGGCTTTTGCACATGGTCTTCCTCCTTTCCCTCTGCCTCCTGACTCACCCTGGTGCTTGCCCTCATGGCAGGGTGCACTCCCTCCTCTTGGGAACCTGTGAGTGTGACAAACCTTCTTTTCAATGGCAATCGATCATTTGTCTCCTGATCTGTTGGCCTCAGCATATGGGAATGATAATAAAATCACATTGCACGGCACCACTTTGGTGTCTTGTCTCCCTCTGCCAAGTCAGACCTCCAGGCCTCTCCTCTGTCTAAAAATTCCAGTTCCTTTTACTTCTCTATTCCAGAAGACTCTACCCTATTTCAAACAGAGAGAGAGAGAGATTCAAAGAAATTTTTGTATTGCCAAAGGGGCGTAGGAGCTGACCAAAGTTTTGAAAAATCACTGAAGCCAAATTAAGAAAGTAGACACCATATTCTATCCCGAGATGTTAGCACTTTCTGTCTATTAATATACTCGTTTCCTATCGCTGCCGTAACAAGTTACCACGAATTTAGTGGCTGAAAATGCCACACATCGATTCCCTCTCTTACAGTTCTGGAAGACAGAAGCCTAAAATTAGCTTCACTGAATGGAAATCAAGGTGTGGGCAGGGCCACACTCCTTCTGGGTACCATAGGGGAGAATCCCTTCCCTTCCCTTTTCCAGCTTCGTGAGCTGAATTCTGCAGCTCATGGCCTCTTCCTCCGTCTTCCAGGCCAAGTGTGGGATTGGTTTTGCTTCAGTCAATTTGTTTTGTTTTGTTCGTTTATTTTTAATTTATTTTATTTATTGAATCAAAATCGATTATACATATTTTGGGGGTTGAACATTGAGATATGTTTGTTAAATCAGTATTACTAGCACACATATTGTTACAATCATAATTATTCTTAATGCCCCTTGTCCAGTCTCTCTCCTTCCCATATTCCTCCCCCTCCCAGCTCTAATTACCCTAGATTTCTTCTCTCCTTCTGAAAGAATAATGGTTACTCTTAATTTATTGCCTGGATGATCTGTCCAATGCTGAGAGGTGTGATCAGGTCCCCCAATACTATCATAGAGCGGATGCTTCTTCTGTCACTCTGGAATGGCCTTTGTGGAGAGAGACATCCTCTTCTTTTCTTTATCTCTGCTCGTGACTCTCCTTGTGTCAATGCACTCCAGTGGCTGGCATACCATCTGCATGGTAATTGTGGTGTCTAGCCGCTTTTGTGGCAGACAAGGTTATTGTGGTGGCTGTGGTGGGCCACCCACTTGGAGGTGCTGTTTTTGGTGTGCTCCTTGGCACTGGCGGTATGCTTGGTTGTGGGGTGTGTTTGGTCCCCTTCTCCATGCCTCCGGTCCCTAGGCAGGCCCCAAGGTGCTGGTGCCATGTGCCTGGTTGTTTAAGGGGTGGCCGGTCCTCTTCTCCATGCCTCAGGTCCCCAGGCAGGCCCTGAGGTGCTGGCGCAGTGTGCCTGGTTGTGGGAGGAGGGTCTGGTTCCTGGCTCCATGTCTCAGGTCACTGGGCAGGACCCAAGGCGCTGGCTTGGTGTGCCTGGTTGTGGGAGAGAGGCCTGGTCCCCTTCTCCATGCCCCGGGTCCCTGGGCAGGCCCCAAGGCTCTGGCTCAGTGTGCCTGGTGTGGTCCGGTCCCCTTCTCCATGCCCTGGGTCCCTGGGTGGGCCCCGAGGCACTGGCGCAGTTTGCCTGGAAGTGGGAGTGGGGTCCAGTCCCCAGATCCAAGCCTCCAGTTCCCAGGCAGGCCCCAAGGTGCTGGTGATGTGCCTGGGCCCTAATTTCTTGTCCTTTTCTTCTAATACGGGGGGACTTCCTGTGGGAACCAGTACTTGAGCTGTGTGTTTGTTTAAATTGCTACTTTGCGCTGTTTCCCTAGGGAAGGCTTTTTGTGCAGCTGAGGGTTTAATGGTTGATCTTATAGGTACTTTCAGCTCTCCAGAGACCCAGTGGATCTGTGTTCTGTAGAATCTCTGATCTGGGCCTGAGTTTTTTCATCAACCTGCACCCCATGCAATTCTGCATTCCTGACCAATCTCCTCTGAGTGGTCCTGTGCTGATTGGGGTCGGATCAGCTGTCCTTGCTGTGTCCCAGTGTTTCCCTGGTGGGCCCATCTCCCCCACCGTCCGTGCTCCAAACACTTCTCATGGGATGGGCGCTGTGCCAGTCCCTTGTGATGACTCACCAGCCTCTGAACAACTCCCCTTTTTTCAGTTGTTCTGGCTCCTCGCTCCTACGTGAGTCCATGGAAAACCTATTAGTGGTCTTGCTGTCCTGGGGGCTGCCAGGGCCCTCTTCTCTCCTGCTGCCTCCAAGTAACTCCCTCTGAAGGGCACAGCTGCAGCTTCCGCTGGCTCCTGCTCCATGTGCTCATCAGCTCCAGTGTTAGAGCGGCCGCAGCCCGAAACGCTCAGAGCAGTTTTTTCTTTCTCTCATCGTGGTTTCTCCCACCTTCCTGAACTCTGCAGGTCTCTCCTCCTCTTCCCCTGAGCTCCAGCAGCCCCAGCTTTGCTGATGTCACATTTTTATAGTTGTAAATTGGTTGATTCATGGGACAGAGTGACGCTGGGAACCCTCTATTCCGCCATCTTGACCAGAACTCCTTGCTTCAGTCAAGTTAACTTCTGTTTCTATAATCAAATCTCCTTCCACCTCCCTCTTTTTACTTTATTTTGTTTGTTTGTTCGTTTTGCATCTGGCCGGTACGGTTATCCCAACTCTTGATAATTTTTATTTCTGTATTTTCTTAGCTTAGCTGAAGAGAAGCCTCCCTCTTATAAGGACCCTTGTGATG